CAAACAGTGACCACTGTGAAACACAAGCTGGAAAGATGAAAAGGATACACAGACCTCATTATTTCAAAAATGTTCTGTATTTCAATACAGTTCTAATCACAATTATTGTCAGGTCATTTGCAGCTCTTTATGCCACTTGACCCTGATCCCAGTTACCTAGGCCTGGCACATTTAATTTTCCAACCGTCAGATTATACCCTTTATTTCTTATTACCAGGACCTTTATTTCTGGGGAGCTACTATGTATCCAGACTCAGAGTTTAAATAATGATTCATTTACTCAATCCCCAATTGTTGCAGGCTCTCTTTTCTTTGTGCTTGGTCAGAGGTGAATGTGTAGCCCCACTCTGGCTGCAAAGAACATAAGAACATGTTCTTATGCACGTTGAGGTCTTTGGGAGAGATTTTTCTCCTTCTTCCATTGTAAAAGAAAGAAATACATGAGAAGAAGGTCTCTCCTGCCCTGTTCCCTTTGCTCCTGCTTGGGAGATTTCAAGCCAGGGAACGGTGTTTAGAGTTACAAGAAACTTCGTAGGACCCTGATAGCAGAGAAGGAGCACGATAAGGGTGTGAAGGTCATTGATGCAGTAGTGGATCCATGGAATCCACCTGGAATGGCTCACATCCAGACTTCTTTGTATGTGAACTGACTATATGACATTTTTTCCCTCTTGCATTACTTGCAGCTCAAAGCACCCTCCGCTCCATTCACTGCCTCACCTCAAAAGCTCTTCTTTTTCTGTGTGTGCTTTGGGCTGTAATTTTCTATTATGCTTCCCTGTTGACCTGATATCATCTGCTTTTCGATCTTCCAGTAATTCTTCATCCTTGATTTGATTGAGGCACTTTTCATATTTTCAGCCTTTTAATAAATTTATTCTAAATAACAATTATAAAAAATATGTACATGTTTTTCTGATATGTAAGGGGTTTAGAGCAGAATGAGACTATAGAGAAATATAACTAGTCTGTTGTCTTCCTACGATTGTCTGCTTCCAGTTTATGCTTATCCAAAACCTTCCTGTCTTTCAACGTTCAGCCATATTGTCATCTTGCCAAATAATCTTTCTGTGATCCCCCTAAATTTTCATTGTATCTTATGTGTACCTCTATTGTATTTATCACATAGTATTAAAATTGTTTTATGTAAGGCTCTACCTGTCACACTCTAGGTGTTATTCATACTTTAATTTTGCAGAATAACTTATTCAGGGAAGAGAGAGTCTAGAGAGAGAGGAACTATGCATGTGCATGTGTGCGTGTCTTACTACTGGGATCTGAAAGTAGCATATATAGTATCCTTAGATGGAAAATGGAAGATGGCAGCTGGTTGCAAGGGAGGCTGGGAAATGTAGTCTAGCTGTGTGCAAGAAGGAAAAACCTCAGATTTTGATGATTGCATTACAGTCTCTGCCACAGACCTCCTTGGAGTGGTCAGTGCATCTGGCCCAGGGTAAAGATTGTGTCAGTGGTTCAGACGTCACTTCTGTTTTTCTTTACTAACTTTAAGTCTCATTTCCATTTGTTTTAATAAAACTTTCCCAATCAGGCCAGCCTGGGGAAATTGACCAGACTAATACATATAAAGTCAGAAGCAAAAATGGATACTACTCAGCAGGTGGCTCTCCTCAAATTATCTGAGCTCCAATGATTAGTATATGAGAATGTATTTTCTCTTATTAGCCCCTGTAATGAGCTACCAGTCAACAAGGAGGCAGTGCATCAGTTGATTTTTTCCCTTTAGTTTAATGAGGAAAGAGAAAGAAGTTATTTCGTTGATGTTGTAACCATTAGCCAACTGCAAAGTTTTTCCAGAATAAATTGGAAGACGTGGGAGGAGGTGATATTAACTGGCTATGTGGATTTTCTAGGCTTTTATTCTTTCCCCCCTTTTTTTAATAAAGCAAATTAAAGTCAATGTGAAGCATTGATTAAAAAAATAAACTCCTAAGAAATGAACATAGAGCTTGAAGAATTGGGAGAGGAGAGAATAAATGTGTATACTTTTTCTTCCTAGCAGAGAAGACAAGATTTTATTTTTCCTGTTATCCAGTTGTATTCATGGTGGTGTGGATGGGTTACAGGCTTGGTGTTTAAGGCATAATTAGATTTGAAGCTTTGGTTTGCTCCCACTGTGCATTTGTGAAGTAACCTACATTTCCTGAGCATTAACTTGTACACCTCTTAAATTAGAGTAACCATACTTACGTAGAGTATATTTACGTAACAAAACTGTGTGAAGGATTGCACACCATGAATGGGAGTGTGTAGCGTGGCACCTGCCCCCAGTAAACACTCTGGAAATGCTCATTCTTTTTGGCTGGAGAAATAAGGACATTGATCTGTGTGAAACAAACTCAGGGTGTGACACCGCTCAGACGATTTCCTCAACATTTGTTTGAATAGCGCTGTGTCCTGCAGGCACTCTGTCCTCGGTGATCCTGAGCACTTTGCATGTACTTCTGTGACGTTATTACCACGTTTGCATGCTAGTCTTTGACCGCTGTGTTTCCTTAAACAGACTGTGATCTTTTAAGGGAATAGATCGTATTTCTTCTGCTTTGCTTTTCCTCTTATTCCAACGAGGACGAAATGCCAGTCAGTTTTTTATGCCAGGCACCATAGGGATCAAGAATGAAAAGCTAGGTCTCTGCTTTTACAGAGTGTATACTCTATAGCACCTCTTGCTCGACTCTGCTTTCTTAGGTATGTTTAAACCAGGCCCAGGAAAGCTAAAATTGTTAAAACATATCTGGTTAAAAGGAACCACATGTATGTTCAACTCATGAGGATGAAGGGGAACAAAGAGCAGACAGGATCTACTATCTTTATAATACCAGTTTGAAAAAAAATCTGAAGGAATTTCCTTCCTAAAAATGGTGGCCCTTCAGGAAAACTTGTAAACTGGAACCCAATGTATATTTCTACAAAAAAACGCATCATATTTGGCTTGCGTGTAGACATTTTTAATGTACCTGGAAAAGCTACTCACACCTTGTGCCATGTGTTTAATCCATCCAGACACCCTGACAAGCTTCAGAGCACATCACCACACATACGCCCATGTGAGAACAGAAAAGGCACAGCTTAGCAAGTGGAAAAGAAACAGGAACTTGGAGGTGAATCGAAACTGTGCTCAAGCCCCAGTCGTAGCAGAGGAATATTTATATTTTTGAAGTTAAGTCTCTTTAAATTGCTTGTCTGCACATTAATTTGTAGTTTTTGTCCTTTTTTTTTTTTTTTTTTTTTTGCACCACATGCACCAGATTTGGTAATTAACTTTTTAAGCCGAGTTCAGCAATTTATTGGGCTTAGTTTGCAGTCCGGAAACTGATCACATACCTACCCTGACAAGACAGTCTTAATGAGTCTGAAACCAGGAGCTGAAGCCCTGGGTGAGCTAATTCTGCAACCCAGAGCCTCGAGCCAGTTCCTGGAAATGATCCCAAATGGACCCTGAGTCTTGCCACCCACCGCATAACCCCCCACGAATGCCCTTCCCAGAGGGTGGATGGCCTGGTGCCACTGAACGTCTTCAGAAGCAATTTTTTTTTCTGTATTTTAATTGAATTTGGGGGGAAAAAATGTACAGCTCTGCAATATTTATTGCTCTGTTCATATAGAGAAAGAAACTTCCATAATATTGTAGCAATTACAAAGGTCAAAAGATTTTCTCTCCTCAGGCCGTTTGATGGTACAGAAAGGCAGCGCATAATGAACACCACAATCTCCATCTAAACTGGGACGATAGCCCCAGCTCTCAGGAAAGGGGTTCTAATGAGATCTTGTATTAATATAATGCTGCTATCAAAGCAATCACCCGGATGCTGATTGTTCCCTGGGCAGGGCCAGATCCTTACATCCTGCTTTGTTAACTAGATGAAGGCATGTCTCGCAGAAAAGACTGGTTTTCAGACGGGAAGAGGCCACTGGAATGTGTGCAGCTGAGCCCAAAGAACCACCGCCTATGCCTAAGCTTTTGACAGCTTTGTAATGAATGAAAAAAAAAAAAGAAAGAAAGATAAAAGCAAGATACCTTGACAAGTTTCAAGCTACAGGATACAATAATATTAGTTTTCCCTGTGACTTAAAACGTTAGGGACAAAATCACTACGACTGAGACAGAAGTTTTTCTGCATCCAGAGCCAGCTTTGGGGATAGGGAACTTTATGTAACTTACATATTTTGTCAGTTCGTGGGCTGGGAGTATTGAACCAGGCAGAACCAGGGGACAGATTCTGAGGGGGGTCACTTGAAGTTTTGCCCAGGCTGACAAGAAGCCAGAAAGTGAAACCACCTTGGACTTGTTGTTTAGAGTTATCCAATCAGTTCACAAACCAGGTGCTCTGGCTAACATTTTGTCACAGAATGAAAGGAAAAAAAAAAATGAATAATGAGAAAAAACCTTTTTAAATGCTTTTCTAAAACCAAAACATACCTACTTTAACAGCTCGATTCATCTGGGTAATAAATAAATAAATAAATAAATACATAAAAACTTCTTGTGGCCTGATGTTTTCCTCCATGTTAGTCACCAATCGTCAGTGCTATCTTACTCTTCATTTCTTTGCAGCAATTAGCAAGAACTGACCAGTCAGATATTTCCACAGCACATGTACATCTTCTACCTCCTTCTGAAATCCAGACAATATCTTCCTTGTGTTTTCTGGTATATTTCTTATGCTCCAGAGATTGTCGACAATTTATTTTTTAGTAATCACCAAGCAAAGCACTGAGATAGACTTAATAAAATAATCATGTTAAGCATGATAAAAATATCGATACAACAGACAGATAAGTTTGGGGAGTCAAGAATTCTGAAGGTTCCATTTAGCTTTATGATCATCACAACATCTAAATTCTTAAATCTCAGCTTTCTTTTTTTGCACAATGAGAAAATTAACCATGAATGGCATAGTTCCTAAAGTTCCACTTAGTCTTAAAATTTTATGGTCTACGTTTAGCTACCATAAACAGCTAGAAAGTCTTTTATAACTTACCTGTTATCTATATAGCTCAGGGAACTGCCACTGATACAGAATCGAATCCACATTAAGATCTATTACCTTCAAGAGTTTCAGTTAGAACTGCTGCCTCCTCTCTCTAAAGGGCAGAGCAAGCCTAAGAAAGAGGAAGTGTGACTCCTCAGCCTGGGCATGCATTTCAATCAGAAAGACCATTTGGAGATTCGATGCAAAGTTATTTCTGGTTGATGACACCACATGCCAGAATTCTCACTGATATTTTTAAATCGCTGCAGTAAAGTCTCAGTAGAAGAAACCACAAGATGAATTACACATGCTTATAACTCTGTCTCTGACAAACTTCAGGGTTTTCATTCATCTTTGTAATTTCAGCACTTGGTGTCACAGAAAAATCTTTGAGGAATAAAATTAAGAAGAAAACCTATCTCACCCAACGGTAAAGACCAGGGGTTAAATATATTGTTTTTCTAATTGGAGGCAGAAAAAAAAAATGTTTCTGAATCCTCTACAACAGTTATTTTCCCTTCAATTCCCTTAGGCTTCGGTTGATGGACTATTTTCTAAAGAATTTCCTTTGTAGATGCCTTTTCATTTACCGAAAACTAATTGTTTTTCACAGTTATATATAAAAATACAGTGGGCTCCACTCACCACTCTGTATCAGGCTCAGAAAAATATTGTTCTCAAGGCACTCACTATTCTGAGGAAATTTGCTTTTATAAAGTGCTCTCATAGCAGAGTCTTTGTTACTTAAGCAATCATTAGGAACCATTTACATATGTTAGCCAAATCAGGTTGATTATTCACATCCTATAAATTATCAGGAGAAGCAAATGAAAATCTACAGCCACATTTTTTAACCAAGCCAGGACCAGTGTTTTATTCTTGTTCTTGGAGCCCCTTGACACTGAGGCAAGGTGGGCATTTGTTGCTCAGACTCTGTGAAACCCTTTCTGTCTCAGGCCCTGCTTATCTGGGGGAAAATAATCATGTAGCTGGAAGCAGTGTTCTTTCTCTCTCATCATTCTACCTTATGGTTTATCAGATTGTTCAGATGCCAGGATGCTAGTAAAACTGTTTACTGACACATCCAAGATCAATGTTTGTTAAAAAAGAAAAAAATATATATATAGCATCCTCGTTAAGTGTTTCTGCTCAAGGCTCAAGACTTGGATAAATTGCTCACTCATAGTTTTACTTTTCACTCATGAGGTGTTGGGATCCTTGCTCTCCATGTCGGTAGTAAGACAGGGAACTTTGAGCAAACAAGTTGGCCAAGCCATGAGATTAAGCCAGTACTCCAGATATGTCTTAGCAAGTCCAGTATTGTACAAGGCATGTATTTGACTAATGATAAAATAACTCTAATAATAAAGGAGCATATTGACTTTATGTTGTCATTGCCCATTGTGTTGTATCTTCTTTTGGAAACTAACAAGGAGAAGGGATAAAAGACCTTGAAATGGTAAAACAAACAAACAAACAAAACAAAATTCAACAACAACCAAACAAAAACCATCTTTGATGAACTTATTAAAATAACAATAGGGAAAAATGTGAGGCAGCACTCTAAATTAGAAGGGCTTATCACCTAGTAATGTAAAAAAAAAACAAACAAAAAAACCCCACTATGTACAGCACCCTTTGATCAGATGAAGTAAGAGAAGTTCTTTGTTCTGAGAAAAAGCAGCATTATTTGTCAGTCTCAAGTAACTGAGTTTATGCCTTTTGGCATTCATCACGTTGCACAATTATTTTTTCTTGTCTTTCATTACTAGACTTGATATGTTTGCATACATATTATTGTTTTTAATTTTAAAAGTTTTCAGATGCATTTAAAAGTTTTTCTATTGTTTAATTTAATCCTTGTTAATTTAATAGGTTCATTTTGCCGCAACTTTTCTAGTTTCTGGAGTTGAATATTTATTTCATTTAGTTTCATTATTTCTTATTTAATGAAAAATATAATTAAGTAAATGAATTTTGTTCTTTTTAAAGTCTCAGCCACGCCTATAAGTGACTAAATAGCTACAATGAGATTACTATGATACATAAAATCTTATTGTAGTTAATTTTAATAACTTGTCCTAGGAGCTTTGATTAAGCCTTGGATCTAAAGATTATTTAGCAGAGGTTTTTGTTTTTATTTCCAAGTGATTAGATTAGTTTTCTTTATCATTTTGTAATAAATTTCTTGTTTTATTACATTGTGAATACGGAATTTATTATTATAACTGTGATCTTCTGTTTGTAAGTGTATTGAATCGATGTTAAGAAATGTTGTTCTATATATATTAATTGTATTATTCTAATACTATAGCCATTATTTTATTGTAATTGAGCTGTAAAAAAATATAACAATATATGTCAGTCTCCCACCAAGAGTATTATTCTTTTACATCTTCCTGCTTATATTTCTAAGTATTTTTCTTATGTATTTTGGAATCAGTGAATTCAGAACACAGATCCATAAGTGTATCTTCATTGTGAATTGTCTCATATTAAATAATTTTCTTCTCAGAGTTAATGCTTTCCGCATGATTTTACTTTCTACGTTAAGATCATTATTTCTGCTGTATATATAATATGCCTACACATAGGCATTTTCTCACTATTTGCCCATCTCTTTATTATTATTATCCTACTTTGTTATTTTGATTTGGGTATGATTCTTACAAAAGTTGTGACTTGAATTTTTAAAAGCAATCTCAGTGTTGGCTTTCATTCTAATGATTCAACCTGTTTTCAATTATTTTAATAATTTATATGAATTTTTGTAAACTGTTTATAAACTATTAATGGAAAAAATATAGCAAAATTTACAAATCATAAGTATAAAACTCATGTCCCATCTCAGGCACCATTCAGACTAAGATAACTACAGATCAGTAATAATACAATACCATGGACTGAGTGGCCTATGAACAACAGAAATGGATCACTCACATTTCTGGAGGCTGGAAAGTCCAAGATCAAGAAGGCCACAGATTTTGTGACTGGTGAGGATCCACTTCCTGGTTCAGAGCTGTCTTTTTGCTATGTCTTCACATGGCATAAAGGGATGAGTAAGCTCTCTGGGGCCTCTTTTAACAGGGCACAATCTCATTCATGAGGACTCCATCCTCATGACCTAATCACCTCCCAAAGCGTCCATCTCCAAATATCATCACATTGGGGATTCGCTTTCAAGAGATGAATTTTGGGGAGGCACAAATTTTCAGCCTATTGCAATTAGATTCATTGTTTTAAAGTTTACATAGAAGGAATCTATGTATCCTTTGTACATAATTTTTGTATCTGGCTTCTTTTATTCATTTTGTTTTTTGAAAATCCTTCATGGTATTACCTGAAGCAAGTTTGTAGTTTCATTGCTATATAGTGTTTATTTTTCTGACTATTACAAATATATTTATTCATCCTACAGCCAGTAGATGATCATTTAAATTTTTCCCAGTTTGGGCTTATTATAAATAACATTCATATAAACAGTATTGTATATTTCATTTACCGCGTAAGACATAAGTGGAATGGGTGTGTTATAGAATATATATATGCAGAGATCTATCTATCTACCTATCTATCTATCTATCTATCTATCTATCTATCTATCTATCTATTTTTAGTGTGCTTGTTAATTTTTTATTGAATTATTTGCCCAGACTGGGTTTGCCATATTCTGCTCTAGACGTAAATGGAGACACATCATTTTATTCCAATCAGGCACTGAGGGTGGCTGGGTTGAAAGTCTTAACCTACCTTTGGTTCATATGAGCTCCTAAGATATAACTCACCAATGGTCCCAACTGACAGACTAGGATGTTTACTAGTGCCTCTATTCTTGACAGGCCCTGAACTCTAATTCTGTCTCTTCAGGACAATGAGACTGCCAAAAACTCAGCTCTACATTTCACTGGCTTTCCGTTTAGCCTCTTAATTTCTACCCTGCACCGCTTGAAATCCAGCAAATGCTTCGGGAAGGAGAACCATCAGTGTCGGGCTAATTTCTCTGTACTTCCCTTTCTTCTGGAATCGTGGCCTCTTATATCCTACCTTCCTTTGTGGCTCCAACTCCTCCAGTGATTATCTCTCCTGTTCTTTCAGGTGGGCAAATATTAGCCTCTTAGCTGTGGCCCTCTGATTAGTTTGTCATCCTCTTTTTTCCCCAAGAATTAGAAAAGAGCTTGAGGAAAAAGCGGCTTAAAGAATGCTGCCTCGTTCTCTGTTTATCTCTTCTCTTGCACCTTCAAGTGCTGATAGCTTCACAGCTCTCATGCTTATAGATGTTTTATTTTATTTTTTTCTATTTTATCCAAGTTTACTAAATGTTCTGGACAGAAACAACCAACTGGAATTGGAAGTTTAAGTCTGATTGATGTTTTGCTTTCTGTTTCTATGCTTTTTTAGAAGTTCACTGTCTTTTTTTTGTTTAAGTGTTGGCTCTTCTTTATTTCTTCTACAAACTTGGAGATTGCATAGCACATTCGGATTCTAGATTCTAGTGGTAGCTTCTTTTGTGTTTCAAACACACATACTTAAGCTTACATTTCTGTATTTATCAGTGTCCAAAAAAGGAGCATCTCTAGAACTCTGCTCTTTTTACTTCCTCGAAAATCCCTTAGTATTTTTCCATTGTCTTTAAGATCATTAATAGATTTCTTCTTTATAAGGTAATATTTGTTTCCCCTGCTTGGATGCTGATAAAGTATTTTTTTCTCTTAGTTTTGCACAGATCTATGCCTTCTATTGTTGCTGTTTTGTTTATTGGTTTATTTTAGTTTCCCCAGCTTAATTGATTAATTACGTACTGGGTAATGTCTATATTAACCTGATTGTCAATTTAAAACATTAAGTCATCATATGTATGAGAGCTTTTATTCTAATGCTGATTCATTTCTAATTTAAATGAGCCATCAGGTGTCACAGGCCAATTCCCTCACAGTTATAGCCAGAGAAGGAAAATGAGGATATGAAAAACTTGAAAGTGCAAATATAATGTGAAAGAAATCTAGCACTTAGTCCTTGCTTTCAAGGAAGTCATAACCATTAGGCAAATATAGCCAAAGCCATTGCTTGCTCAATCAGTATCTATTTATCCCTTCTTCCTTCCAGACAGAACCTCAGTCTCCTGTGCTAACTGGGTTGTCATGTGATATAATCTTT